ACACTCCGATCGCCCAAGCTTGACCGTGACCGCCGGCGTATTATCCAATACATGGCTTGGCCACGTACTGCGTATCCCAGTCGACCGAATTCCTCGAACGGCTTTATTCGCACAACCACGTGGAGGGTAGAAGAGAGCCAGAGGTGATCAAACAATGACTTGGCGGCAAAGTATGTAAGCCAATACCAGAAATCTCAGCGGTGCTGGTCGCTGCCGTCTTCCTGGTTGGGCTCCCCGAAACGGACCACAACAATGGCTAGAGACATTGTTGGACATGGCCCAGTTGCCCTCAGAATGGCGCTCGTGTATCCCAGCTATTGCCTTCAATGCATAGTCTCTTATCCAATCCCCCCAACCCACTTGACAGCCCACTGGGAGTGCTGGATTTGTGCACAAATTTATCAGCTCTCGCCTGCAATGCGCAGCTACCTACCCCTCTCCCCAAATCACCGGTGAACGATACTGCGGCAGCTACGAAGATTACGCGGTTATTACAGCTGACAATGATGATGATGTTGATGAACGCGAATTCTATGATCACGGCGTAGGATACACTACCTAAATGAGACGTTCTCCTGGAAGATACTACAGTTTTCTGAGTTGCAGTCAACAAAGCGAACATGGATTATTCAGCAGTACGAAACATCGTCGGTAGTGTGAGGAGACCTGGGAATTTTAGTAGGGGTTTTCTGCTAAAACTGAAACCAATCATTGACGAATAACCGAGGAGCCGCACAGCTGCCACATCCTTATTGGGAATCATCAGGAGTACAAACTACTGTCAACATGACTAGTAGTTCAAAACTTAACTGTTCAACTACTAGCGGCTGATTAGCATCGCTGTTAGCTCGCAGATAGTGCATGTTCAACGATTGCTGTGGCCGGCTTTCAAACGAATTCGCCATTACTACTACCATAGTGATGGTTTTGGCGAATGGTGAATGTGGACTTTGTATCGGGCGGTGATGTTCGTTTTACCGCAGGTGCAGGTACAAAAGAAAACGCAATAGCAAAGTACTGGCTTTAGTACGTAGATGTTTTGTTGTATCATCATCATCATCATCATCATCATCACCATCATCATCATCATCGTCATCATCATCCAAATCATCATCATCGTCATCATCATCATCATCATCAAAGACATGGATATCAGTGTTGGCGCTGATGCCTCACTGGAACACCAGCGTGGACTCTGACCATGCACTTTTGATGAAGACGGGTGAGGGAGCATTACGAAGCATCTCCGGAACGGTAGACAAGAAAATATTCACATCAGTTGTCCTGAGAATGTGTAAACATTGGATTCACTGAATGTACCAGAATTTACAAGAAGTTACCAGCCAGCTAGAAATTACAGGTGATTCACTGATATCGTAAGCCCCTGAATCTTGTGGTCGTATTAAAAACTATTGGTTTTATTGTAACCTCACTGTTTCTTCGAGCAGAAGGGACATGGTAAATTAAATCGCGACAGGGTCCGTACAGTCTCTTGTCGGATGGTAACTACCCTCAAAGCCGGGACTGTATAGCGGACGAAACGATAGGTTTTCCAACGGTTCACCAAGGTTTATACAGTGTGAAATGTAACGGATGTGACAAGGAAGAAAATAACGGAAAAACTGAGGTGGCTTTCTCCTCACGGTCTCGTTGGATTGACACAAACCAGGTATTTGTTTACTATCCTTTTATCCATTACTAATCACACTGCTCCATACTTTACGTTTTACGGAACACTTCTCGGAATTCCCAAGACGTTCTCTGATGGGCAAGAAATTTCTTGAACTTCATGGGAACAGTATCTAGAGGAAATCGCGCAACATTGAAGGCCTGCTCACTGGAGAGACTGAGCGCATTAGTTGTCAAACTCAACCGGTCCAGCATCATTCTTCACTTGGCTATCCATTGAATTTATGCCCAATTTCGGTTTGGTGCGAGCAAATGTTCCCCCCCAAAAAACATCAAGTCCGGCGCTGAGTTCACTCTCTCCACAGGCATCATGCTGGCAATGATGTTGGAACACACAANCGGTTAGCTCGCAGATAGTGCATGTTCAACGATTGCTGTTGCTGGCTTTCAAACGAATTCGCCATTACTGCTATCATAGTGATGGTTTTGGCGAGTGGTAAAGGTGGACTATGTATCGGGCGGTGATGTTCGTTGTACCGCAGGTGCAGGTACAAAAGAAAACGCAATAGCAAATTACTGGCTTTACTACGTAGATGTTTTGTTGTATCATCATCATCATCATCATCATCATCATCATCACCATCATCATCATCATCGTCATCATCATCCAAATCATCATCATCGTCATCATCATCATCATCATCAAAGACATGGATATCAGTGTTGGCGCTGATGCCTCACTGGAACACCAGCGTGGACTCTGACCATGCACTTTTGATGAAGACGGGTGAGGGAGCATTACGAAGCATCTCCGGAACGGTAGACAAGAAAATATTCACATCAGTTGTCCTGAGAATGTGTAAACATTGGATTCACTGAATGTACCAGAATTTACAAGAAGTTACCAGCCAGCTAGAAATTACAGGTGATTCACTGATATCGTAAGCCCCTGAATCTTGTGGTCGTATTAAAAACTATTGGTTTTATTGTAACCTCACTGTTTCTTCGAGCAGAAGGGACAAAACCTGGTAAATCGCGACAGGGTCCGTACAGTCTCTTGTCGGATGGTAACTACCCTCAAAGCCGGGACTGTATAGCGGACGAAACGATAGGTTTTCCAACGGTTCACCAAGGTTTATACATTGTGAAATGTAACGGATGTGACAAGGAAGAAAATAACGGAAAAACTGAGGTGACTTTCTACTCACGGTCTCGTTGGATTGAGACAAACCAGGGATTTGTTTACTATCCTTTTATCCATTACTAATCACACTGCTCCATACTTTACGTTTTACGGAACACTTCTCGGAATTCCCAAGACGTTCTCTGATGGGCAAGAAATTTCTTGAACTTCATGGGAACAGTATCTAGAGGAAATCGCGC